CAAGTGTAAAACTACCATGCTCTGCATAGTAAGTTCCTAGCACTCCTCTTCATACATCTTGTGGGCTTACTGAAGAGTACCTCAATCATTACCTTAGCACCTTAGTAACATAAGAGTCACTCTGTAGCTACGCTGCTCAAACACTGTCTGCTGATTTAATCCTTTTTCACCACATTTCTTCAAGAACTTTATGGCCAGTCGTCAGCAAATTATCATTCAACTTTAGTCCTGAGTCTTGTGGAGTTTTTAAATACTTGTTTCTGATCCTATTACATTCCATTACTTGTACAACACTTCTTTGTAGTATCCATATAATCTTCCATATTTTTTTCTTTCTTTATATTACACATTATTACAAACTTACATAAGTCATTTTCAAAGTTGCTATACAAATATATAAAAAATGTAAGCTTACTTAAATCTTATCTACAGTTATTATACTTGCAAATAGTTAGAACATTATACAGCATTTCCTTGTTCCTCTGACAATAGATACCTTCTATTATATTAGAATATTACTCCATTTTTATCTTTTTCTTCCCTTTAGTTATTTAGGAGATTCTCTCAATATTGATACAAACAATAAGTGTTAATTATTGTTATTGCTGCTATTATTATTATTATTATTATTATTATTATTATTATTATTATTTCTTTTCCATTTCTATACATCATTGTCCCTGTCTTAGTCCCAGTTATACTTGTTTTTATTGCTGTCTTCTTTTGCAATACTCTGTTACAATAGACCATTTTTCTTCATTCTTTTCTACATCTTTTTTATTTAGCCAAGTAGTTAATCTGTCCATTTCTATCATATTTTATAGTTTAAAAAGCCATTTGTTTATTGTCAGTAATTCATGTCTTTTCCACACTTGAGCTAACGATATTCTAGCTGCCGAAATCATGTATAATAGAACTCTCCAATATTTTCTCTCTAATTGAAGAGGCATCTTATTTAACATATTTAGGAGATAAATGTACAGTCTAAGTTCAAATTTGATTTTCAAAATTTCTTGTATCGTATTGTGAATTTTCTTCAAAAAGTTTTCAGTTTTGAACATCTCCACCATGTATTAAACCACGATCCAATTTTTTGTTTTCATTTCCATCATCTATTTGAGCCAGTATTTTTTTTTAAAAAAAAATGCAATTTTTTTTGGGGGGGGGAGTCAAATGCCATCTTTGCTCCATTTTCCAATAGTTCTCTTTCAAATCCTGTGATTGAGTAAATTTTTCTGTTTAGTTCCTTGCATATTCCCAACTACTCAAGTCAATTATTCTCCCCACATCTGTAGCTCACTTTATCATATTATCTGTAATCAGGTCATTTTTTGTTTTCTGTTCATTAGTACCTTATATAATCTAGCAGTTTTTTTTTGCCTTCTGTACTTAGTAAGATTTCATCATAATCCGTGGAATCATCTCCAAAATCTTCCAGTTTGACATCCATCTTAAATCTCTCTTTTAGTTGGATATAGAGAAGCCAATGAATTTTAGAGTCTAATTGTTCAAGCTTTTTGATAGGTTTTAACTCATATTTGTTTATCCCTGATTTTCTAAATATGTCCTTATATCTTAACCATGTTTTCAATGCACTCCATCTTCCAAGAATTGTTTCCTGGGTGAGATATTATTGACATTATTTTATTGACATTAGAAACTGGACTAAAACAATTTACTTGGAAATTAAATGACAAGTTGTTAAATGACAAGAAATTTTTGGAAAAGTCCAAAAAAAATTCTGGAACAATACTTTCTAGAGAACACTTTCAAAGAGGTAAAGGCAAAGACTGTCTGGGATGCTAGCAAGGCAGTGATATGGGGGGGGGGGGGATCCAAAGAGGTGCAGAGGTTAAACGTCAGTGTCTGCAACAAATGGAAAAATTAGAAAAGAAAGTGAAAATAAAAATAAAAATTTGAAATGGCTGAAGAAACAACTGAACAAAGTTCTCACAGAAGAAATAGCAAAGAAAATGAAATATATTAACAAAGACATTTTGAATCAGCAAATAAATCAGGGAAATGGTTAGCCCACAGGCTGAGAAAAGAAAAAGACATGAAAATGATTACAGAAAGAAAAGAGGGGGACAAAATTATCAACTTACAGGAAGATATTGAAAAAGCCTTCCTGAAGTTCTACACCAGATTAATTGAAGTGCAAGATAGTAGCCCCGAAGAAATAGATGAATATTTAAACAAGCAGAAAATTGGCAAAATAATGGAGGAACAACAAAAGTTATTAAATGCAATGTTCTCTGAGAAGGAGATAATTCAACTGATCAGGAAACTAAAAGTGGATAAAGCACCAGGTCCAGATGGATTTGCCACCTCATATTATAAAAAGACTGAAGATGAAATTGAAAATCCTCTTTTGAGAACTTTTGAGGCGAGAGGGAGACATGAACCCAGGCCTTTATTTAGGGGTCTCAGGGGGTCTCTTGAGGGGAGGGGAGTCTGAACTCTGTGTGTGTGTGTTTGTGTCGTTTGCCTTCTAGTCCTTTCCAACTTATAGGGTTTTCTTGGCAGGATTTGAGAGAGGATTTACGATTGCCTTCCTCAGAAGCTGAGTGTGACTTGTCCAAAGTTATCCAATGGATTTCCATGGCCGAGCTGGGATTCCAGCCCTGGTGTCTGTAATCACACGCTAAAACCATGCTGGCTCCCAGTATTATATTTGTTGTTGTTGTTGTTGTGTGCCTTGTCTGTTTTTTAAATGCTTCTTGTTGTTGTTGTGTGCCTGCAAGTCACCTGCCTGCCTGCCAGTAAGAGCCGGGAGGGAGGGAGGGAGAAGGAGGAAGTGGCGGCAGCAGGCAGGCGGTGTGTGTGTGAGTGAATGCCTTCAAGTTGTTACTGGCGACTCTAAGGTGAAACTATCTAAGGGTTTTCTGTGCAAGTTTTGTCAGAGGAGGGGTTTGCTATTGCTAGCCTGAGGTTGAGAGAGTGTGCATTTTGTGTGTGTGTGTGTGTGTGTGTGTGTGTATGTGTTTGAGTGAATGCCTTCAAGTTGTTCCTGATGACCTTAAGGCATTTCCAACTTATGACGACCTATCATGGGGTTTTCTTGGCAGGATTTGTTCAGAAGGAATTTTTTGCCATTGCCTTACCCTGAGGATGAGAATGTGACTTACCCAAGGTAACCCTGTGGGTTTCCATGGCAGAGTTGGGATTTAAATCCTGGTCTCCCAGGATCCTAGTTCAGTGCTCAAACCATTGCACTGCAGAAATAATCCAATTTGGCACCACTTTAACTGCCATGGATCCATGCTATGGGATTCTAGGAACTGTAATTTTGTTAGGATTCTAGGAATTATAATTTTGTTTGTAATGAGGCCATCCATACTGCAAAAATAATCCAGTTTGACACCACTTTAACTGCCTCCATGCCATGGGATTCTGGGATTTCTTGTTTGTTGTGGCACCAGAGATCCCATACAGAGAAGGCTAAATGTCCAAAAGGTCCTCCATTTTGAACAGGGCTGAAAAGGATGGATTTAATATTTATATGAGTTGGGTGTTTTTTTTACTTTTTCAACTTTTATTTGGTCAGGTCCTCCATTTTTTCCTTGTGTATTTTCCCCCCAGAAATCCCGCCCCTGGTACCCGGTTGCCCCTGGTATGGGAATGCCACTGAGTTTGGGCACTCAGTCTCTTAAAGGTTCGCCATCACTTTTATAGACCAATTTCATTACTGAATACTGACTACATGATTATGGCATCAATTCTGGCAGACAGATTAAAATAAATTCTAAACGAACACATTCAAGATCAATCTGTGTTGTTTTTTTGCCTATAAGACAAATGAGAATATCTGACTAATAATAGACATAACTGAATATTACAGGGGGAAAACAATGATTAAAAAGGTAACTGATCTTTGCAGATGCGGAGAAAGTGTTTGACAATGTGAATTGGACTTGTATGTTAGGAATACTAAAAAGGAGGAAAGCAGGTAGGAATTTTGGTTCATGGATTAATAAAATTTATGCTGAACAATCAGCTCAATTTATCATAAATGGAAGAAAAACAAATAAGATTGTAATTTGGAAAAGGACTAGGCAGGGTTGCTCTCTCTCCCCAATACTTTTTATAGATGTGCTAGAAATTCTCTTTAATAAATTGAGATGTCAGCAAGTGTAACAAAGGTTAAGGACCAAGAATATAAATTAGAAGCTTTTGCTGATGACCTAGCGATTGTGTTAGAAGACCCAGAATGGAAAATAAAGAGACTGTTTCAGATTAAGGAGGAATTTGGAAAGATATTGGGTTTCAAAATTAATCAAAAGAAAATGGTCTTATTAACAAAAACATGAGTAAAAAAGAGGAATCCCAACTATAATAATAATAATAATAATAATTTCTAGCCCGCCCCTCTGCTTGGCAATCGGGGTGGGTTACAGCATAATTAAAACACAAAGAAGTTAAAACATCTTACATCCCAATCTCTAACCCTCCTCTCCTTAAAACTGAATAAAACCAAGACTAGAAGATTTTACAAACTATTCAGTAAAAAAACAAAGTCAAATACCTAGGAATCTGGCTAACTAAAAGGAATGTAGAATTATTCAAGAACAACTACAAACCAAAGTGGAAAGAAATAAAAGCAGGCTTAGGTAAGTGGCACAAATTACAGCTTACACTGACAGGGAGGGTCGAAGCAATTAAAATGATGGTTTTACCTAAGATAAATTTCCTGTTACAAATCTTCCATATTTTCACAACCCCACCCTCCCTGTACGCCCTGAGCAGGAGAAGTATAAATGCTAAAGAAATATTAAACAGGAGGAAATCATTCAGTTAAAAAGCATGTAATTATTCAAAGTGCCATCCTCTATGTGTATGTCTGTCTGTGTCTGTGTGTTGTGTGCCTTCAAGCCGTTTCCGGCTTATGGCAACCATAAGGCAAACCTATAATGGAGTTTACTTGGCAAGATTTGTTCAGAGAAGGTTTGCCATTGTCTTCCTCTGAGGCTGAGAGCATGTGCCCAAGATCAGCCAGTGGATTTCACGGCTGGGAATTGAACCCTGGTCTCCAGAGTCACAGTCTAACACTCAAACCACTACACCACACTACCATCCTGCACCATTACCTAAAAGTGCTTTGTACAAATGACAACCCAGTTTATAGACACACTAACATTCTTAGTCTTCTCTTAGATAGATAAAGAACTCTTAGATAGATGAACTCTTAGATAGATGAAGAACTATAGGCCTGTTTCATTGATGCCATTTTTGAGCAAGGTG